ACAGGCTCCAGGCTCTGAGCTGGCAGTCAGCACAGAGCCCGACGCGGGGCTCGAACCCACGAACCGCGAGATCATGACCTAAGCGAAAGTCGGACGCTTAACCGACTAAGCCACCCAGGCGCCCCGGGACTACTGTATTTAAAATCTTGCAGTGGCTCTTAGGAAATCCATTATATCGGGGCACTGGGTGGCTCAGTCGTTAAGCGTCTCACTTTGGTTCAGGTCATGATCTCATGGTTTGTGAGTTCAGGCCCCACCTTGGGCTCTCTGCTGTCAGCACAGAGCCTGCTTCAGATCCTCTGTCCCCCTCTCTCTGCCCCTCCCCCACTGACATGCACGCGCTTTCTCTCTCAAAAATAAAAATAAATGTGAAAAAAACATTGTATTAAACTGCTATCCTATTTTTCCAATTGAAACGTTAAAATAATCCCGAGATTTTCCTTGTCTTTACCGAAACATATTTTCATGATTTTCCACTGTAAGTGATGTTATTCGCCCACAATTATATTGTATTGTATTGTTTTATTTTATTTATTTTATTTTATTGTACTTTATTATTATTTTTTAAATTTATTTTGAGAGAAAGAGAACACAAGCAGGGGAGAAGCAGAGAGAGAGAGAGAGAGAGAATCCCAAGTAGGCTCTGCACCATCAACTCAGAGCCCAATGTGGGGCTCAAACTCATAAACTGTGAGATCACATTCTGAGCGGAAACCAAATTCAACTCTTAACCGACTAGGCCACCTAGGTGCCCCTGCCCAGAATTATTTTAAACTAAGTCCTTTAATTACAGCCCCCTAGCTTTGGTGGCAAATAATAGGTTCTGTATCACTTCTGCTTTTTTGCCAAGTTGAATTTCATCTCTCCCACTTCTTTTGCATCAGAAGTGTATTTCCTGGACGTGAGCATATTTTTTGGTACTCAGACTGTCTTAGGTAAAAACAAAAAGATAATAATAGTAAACAGGGGTGCCTGGGAGGCTCAGTCGGTTAAGCCTCCGACTTTGGCTCAGGTCATGATCTCATCATGGTTTGTGAGTTCGAGCCCCGCGTCAGGCTCTGTGCTGACAGCTCAGAGCCTAAAGCCTGCTTCGGATTCTGTGTCTCCGTCTCTCTCTGCTCCTCCCCAACTTGTGCTCTGTCTCTCTCTCTCTGTCTCTGAAAGATAAATAAATGTTGAAAATTTTTTAAAAACTTTCTGTAATAGCCCTTGTGTTCGCTAACATATTCCTCATTAGGAATGATATTTTTTGTTCTAATTCACAAATGCACATGGCTCTTAAAACAAAAATTCGAAACCTTATTTCAGACTTCATTTCCTATAGGTTTTGGTTAAATTTGGTCAGTTGCTAAACAGAAAACAGATTTCAACAGGCGAATTTGCACCGACTTTAGCCCTTGATCCAGAGCAAGCTTTCTCCATTTTGGCACTGTTGACATTTTGGGCCGGAGAATTTGTTGCGGGAGACTGTCCCGTTCATTGCAGGCTATGGAGCAGTGTGCCTGGATTCTCCCCACTGGCCAGTGAAGCACTCCCCCAGTTGTGACAGCCAGAACGTCTCTACACATTGTCACACTTGCCCCTAGGCGAGAACCACTCCTCTCTGGTTACTTTATGCCATTCTTACTGCTAGTTGGTGGAGCCTTGGTTTTAAGTTGTAAACGTGACTCAGTGCTGATTTCTACTTTCACAGCCAGTGTGACTAGTCAGCCAGAAGTCCTGTGCCGCTTGATCTTACTTGCTGTTTTTTCCCCTTTCTTTTACATCCCCGTAGGAAATTTGGTTATGTGAATTTTAAATCTGCTGATGATCAGGGAAAAGCCTTGAAACTTACTGAGACAAAGGCCCTTGGGAATGAAATTAAATTGAGAAAATCAAAAGGAAAGGGAGTAAAGAAAGGTATGTTAACAGGGTAATTTATTTATAGATACCTGTGTATCTAGAAGACTCTGGGTCAGGAACGAATATCAGATTCTTTCTCCGTCTGTGCAAGTACTTTGTTACCACCAGGTCACCTGCCTGCACAGCACAAACTTTATCTGCATTGCTCTCACCCAGTGTGCTCTAGCTGCCTGGCTCACTTTCCCTGTCATAGCGTCCTTTGTCTACTGTACTCTCTGTCATTATGTACCTTACCCCTTACCTCCTCTGCCATAATGTTCTCTCTGGGACTCAGTCCCTGCATCCATAGAATTTCAGCTTAAAGGTCACTTCCTCAGCTCAGAAAAATTTTCCCTTCCAGGCTAGATTAAGTCTTTTTTTTTTTTTTTTTTTTTGAGGAGGGTGGGGAATTCCCTTCCCTTCCCTCTCTTTTTTTCTATTTATTTATTTTAAGTAATATCTCCACTCAATGTGGGGCTTGAACTCACGATCCAGAGATCAAGAGTTGCGTGCTTTTCCAGTTAAACCAGCCAGGTTCCCCTAGGTTAAGTCTTTACTAGATGTTCTCATTTCCCTTTTACTTTTCCTTCTTAGCACTTAACCAGAGTTTGTAATTATGCGACTATATTTACTAGCCTTTCCCCCCAACAAGGCCACATTCCCTAGAATAGAGGCCAAGTCTGTATTTTGATGTACCATGTAGCATAGGCCCTCACCTAGATGTGTGTTCAAATAGTTGTTAAATGAGGAATATGTATTGCTATTAACACTTTCCAACTCTTGGAGAAGTATTTTTCCTCCCTTGGAGAACTTTTTTATTTATTTTATTTTTTTAATTTTTATTAATTTCTAGGAGAGAGAGAGAGAGACAGCGTGAGCAGGGGAGGGTCAGAGAGAGAGGGAGACACAGAATCCGAAATAGGCTCCAGGCTCTGAGCTGGCAGTCAGCACAGAGCCCTTGGAGAACTTTTGATGCTTATTAGAGTTGAATCCAGACTGAAAATATTCTTTTGTGTTATATAGCTCGGAATACCAAAACACTTTTCATCAAGTATAAAGTCACCTGATAAAATGACTCAACATGAGTTAAAAGAAGTGTTTAAGGATGCCTTTAAAATCAGTTTGGTGAGCAAGTATGGGGTGAGTAAGAGGTGTGTTTTGTGCCTATACTGAAAAAGAATGTATTTCTACTGGATTCGGACATAACAGAATTTTACTACATTCTCCCAAATCACTTAGGCCTGATTTTAGAAAAGAAAAGAGAAGTTATCCAACCTTTCTACCAGCAGGCAGAAAAAACTGAAGAAGGCATCATAAACGGACAGTCAGAAGTTTCTAGAAAACTGTCAAAGTGTCATTGAGAAATGAAGGCTTATTCTACCAAGTTCAAGATTGAAGATTAGAAGAATTCAGTCATAGATTATCACCATTCTTCTCTCCAGTAGAACAGCACCCTTGCTGACTTGCCTGGACAAGTGGCAAAACAAGCATTAAATTGGCCCCTTAGACCAGTGTGGTAACCGGGGCACCTCTGGGGCTCGGTCAGTTAACTGTCCGACTTCAGCTTAGGTCATGATCTCACGGTTGTGGGATCGAGCCCCACGTTGGGCTATGCACTGAATGAATGTGGAGCCTGCTTGGGATTTTCTCTCTCCCTCTCACTCTGCCCCTCCCCTGCTTGCGATCTCTCTTTCAAAAATAAATAAACACTTTATTTATTTTTTTAATAAACATTTTTTAAAAAATGGACAAAGCGCTTGAGTGGACATTTCTCCAAACAAGGTATACTGGTGCCCAATAAGAACACAAAGAGGTGCTTGACCTGAGTTGTTAAGAAAATGCAAATCACAGCCATGGTGTGATCCCACCTCACACCCAGTAGAGTGGCTATAATAAAAATGGCAGGCAATCACGAGTGTTGGCAAGGATATGGGGAACCTGGAACCCTCATTCATTGCTGGTTGGAACGTAAAGTAGTGTCATTGCTTTGGAAAATGGTTTGGTGGTGTCTGAAAATGTTAAACATAGAGTTACCATGTGGTGCAGCAATTCTGCTTCTAGGTGTGTACCCAAAAGAGACGAAAAAGTATATCCACACATTTCTACAAATGTTCATACCAGCTTCATTCTTACTAGTCCCAAACTGGAAACAACCCCAAATGTCCACCTGCTAATGACTGGGTAAACAAGATGTGCTCCTTCCATACAACGTAATATCGTTCTGTCATAAAAAGGAATGAAATATCAACATATGCTGAAACTTGGAGGAATATGAAAACCATTCAGCTAAATAAAAGAAGCCAGACACAAAAGATTGCATAGTCCTATGGTCCCATTTGTATGAAATGTCCACAATAGGCAAATAGCATAGTGGTTGGGACACGGGGTGGGTATGAGTTGGGGGAACGAGGAGTAACCGCTGATGGACACTTTGGGAGATGATAAAAATGTTCTAAAATTAGATTGTCGTGATGGCTATAGAATTCTATAAATACACTAGAAATCATCGTGCACTATTTCGTCTTTAAGTCATCCCTGCACCCAACATGAGGCTTGAACTTACAACCCGGAGATCAGGAGTTGCATGCTTCACTGATGGAGCCAGCCAGGTGCCCCTCACTGTATACTTTAAATGGATGAATTTTCTAATACATGAATTATATCTCAGTAAAGTTTAAAAAATAGAGCGTGGGGCACCTAGGTGGCTCCACTGGTTGAACATCCAACTTTGGCTCAGGTCATGATCTCGTGGTTCCTGAGTTCGAGCCCTGCGTCGGGCTCTGTGCTGACAGCTCGGAGCCTGGAGCGTGCTTTGGATTTTGTGTCTCCCTCTCTCTCTGCCCCTCCCCTGCTAGCACTCTGTCGGTCTCTCTCTTTCTCTCTCTCCCAAAAATAAATAAAAACATTAAAAAAAATAGAGTGTGTATATATGTAATTTGCTTTTATATGTACAGCGTATTGCCTCTGAGGATAGAAATTGGGCAGAAGGCACATGTCACCGTATCCTTTTCTACCTTTTGCCTTTTGAATCTTGTGTGTGTGTTACTAATTTGGAAGAGAAAAGTACTGAATGCTGACTATGCTTTCTTCTCCCCTCCACCTGGTCCCCACAATTGCAGGATCACCTATGTTGACTTCAAGTCACAGGCTGATGCAGAGAGAGCCTTGGAAGGGAAGCAAGGAACAAAGATTGGAGGGCTTGCCATAGCTCTGGACCACGTTGGAGGGAAAAGCCAAGGCCAAGAGGAGACAGGCGAGAAGAACAGCACGTGGAGAAGTAAGGGCTGATAAGCTCTGGAGACTGAAACTTGCCAGGGTTGGGTCATCAGCCGTGTTCCCCAGAGAGGGGCTACAGTCAGGATAGGGAAGCTTTTATTTTTTTAAAGTTTATTGAGAGAGAGAGAGAGAGAGAGAGAGAGAGAGACAAGGGGAAGGGTGGGAGGGGGAGGGAGAATTCCAAGCAGGCCCCACACTGCCACCACAGAGCCGGTTGTGGGGCTCAAACTTACAAACCGTGAGATCATGACCTGAGCTGAAACTAAGAGCTGGATGCTTAACCGACTGAGCCACCCAGGACCCCTCAGGATAGGGACACTTAAATACAATTTCTCCCTGTATTAAAAATGGGTAATCCTCCTCAGATCAACGTAACGAGTATTGTCCTAACTAACTGTAACCTTGAAGTCTGCAAAAACATGTCACTTTGAGGTGATACATCAGCTTAGCTCCCCTTCTTGGGGGTCCTATAGGATTCTGTTTGGACAGGCCCTTAAAGCTGTGGTTTCAGAAGTCAGATGTTTAATTCTCTTCAAGTAGAGTTTTTGTCAGGTTTAAACCAGAGACCCCAAACTGGAGTCCCTAATCTGCCTAATCTAATGAGTAATCGTAATGGCTTCTATAGTATTTACAGAGAAAAAAAAAAAAACAATTTACTATGAATATTTTTAAAAATCAAGAAATTTCACATAGAAATCTGTATTTCCAGCTTCTTTTGCTGCTGCATCAGAAAATCTGGTGGCCCTGGGGCTGCATTCCTACATGTCTCCAGTCACCTGCACAGGAAAATCAGAGGCTTCCTCTTAGCTGTTTGTTACAACCCCCACCATTCGGTAAGTTCCTCCCTAATGGAAGGAGCGAACAGCACACTTAACACCTTGAGAGAGTAGAATCAGTTCTTTTCTCTTGCAAAGTACTACTTTTCTCCTATTAGTGAAGGTGACCTGTTAATATTCCTTCTGCATGTGTCTCTTTCAAAAGTGGGAAATTGAAAGCTGGAACAAGAAAGCCACACATTTCAAGAAAAATGGGAGCGTGCTTATTTCTTTGTGGAGGGTAAGAATGTCCGCAGTGTTCAATAAGCAAAGAGGGTGTGTCTGTGTGGGAGGAGTGTAACCCCAGACGCCGTTATGAAACAAACCACAGCAGGAACCATGATGGACACGCAGAAAAGATGCGTGATAAAAAGCTAAATGAACTGAAAAAAAAGACTAAAATTTCAATATGACGCCCTTTTGAATATGAATAAAATAAGTGATGCGGCTACGAAATGCAGTTATGTATTAAGTGAGAAAATTGCCTGGGCATCCAAACCTTTTACAGACGGCGAGTTTATAAAGGAATGTCTCTGAGTGCTGCGGAGTGCCTTGAGCAGAGACAAGCATTTGCCAACATGAGCCTAAGTGCTAATATTGTTCCACAGCACGTTGGTGAGATGGCTGAGAACTTATGGACAAGTTGCAAGGAAGAGGTAAATCATTTGTGGCTTTCTCCATTGCAGCTCAGGAAGGAGCTGATGGAGATAATGCCCTTCAACTGGCTGTATTCTTTCGTGGTGTTGATGAAGCTTTTGATGTGACGGAAGAGCTTTTGGACATGGTACCCATGACAGGCACCCCATCAGGAAATGATTTATTCGTATGTGTGGAGGAAAGTCTTAAAAAATTTAATGTAGACTGGTCGAAATTAGTCAGTGTTAGCACAGATGGCAATTCTACACCGGCTGGTGTTGAACAACTTGTTACAGAACTTAAATCTAAAGTGTCAGGGCTTTGCAGAGACACAGAGCTTAAGTCTGGGCATGGCCCCATTCTCCAGGAGTCACTTAGTGCTAAAAAGATAAAAATGGATCATGTCATGGACATGGTAATTCACACCATAAGCTCTATACGTTCCCATGGCTCAGACCACAGAGAATTCAGTGCTTTGTTCAGTGAGTTAGATGCACAATATGGAAGCCTGTTCTCCTCCATAGGACTTAACAGGGCTGAGTCGTGGCATGGTGCTAAGACAGTTTTTGGAACTGTTGGAAAAAATTGATTTTTTTCATGTCTTCTAAAGGAAAATCTGTTCCCCGGCTTACTAGCAAAGATTGGGTTAAAGACTTAGCCTTTCTGGTCTACATTATGACTTACCTGAACATGTCAGGTATCTCCCTGCAAAGGCATTCAAAAGTGGTTACACAGACGTATGATTCAGTTTGCTTGCTCCTAATGAAGCTGTGTCTTAGGGAGACCCATTTGGCAGAGAGCAATCTGGCCCACTTCCCTACACTGAAGTTCATTTCCGAACATGAGAGAGATGGCCTGAGCTATATTCCCAGAATTACAGGGTTGAAGACTGAGTTCCAAAAACGGTTCTCTGGTTTCAAACTTGATGAAAACGAGCTGAGGTTGTTCAGTTCACCTTTCTCAATTACCATGAACGATGCGAGCAAGGAGCTACAGATGGAGGCTATTGAATACAGTGCAACACGATACCAAAAACGAAACATGACTATGTCAGAATCCTAGAATTCTACAAACACCCTGGGAATGGTTACCCTAAATATAAAAACCATTGTGTAAAGATTCTGTCCATGTTTGGAAGTACCTACGTTTGTGAGCAGCTATTTTGAGTCATGAAACAACAGAAAACTAAGTGCTGCCCCCAGTTAAAGATTCAGGGTGCAGTTCCTGTACCAGAGTCACGCCCTGACATTGACTGACACCTTGGGGCTTAAGAAAGGAATGTCACATTTTGGATTTCAAATCTAAGGAGTAGTACATTATGAAACTGATTATTTCTATTTCCAAATTGTATTTGTTCGATGTCAAATTTAAACTACAATCTCTGGCATCCTACGTTTGTACCTTATCACGTATAAAATAAAGTTTGATTATACCTTGGCAGTTTATTTTTTCCCTTGCTGTTCCTTTCTGGCCCTTAGAGTGGTTCGCGTTGGTAAACCTCTGCCCTTAAAGCAGCCACACTATTCCTAAAGGCACTGCTGGGCTGGGGACGTGAACCAGGGAGTCAGCTGGATGAATGGGGTGTTTAGATACCTAGAGCAGCTCTATCCCCAAGGCTGACAGACCTGCCACTGGGATCTGGGGACTCAGGCCAGAGTAAGCCCCCCGCCCCACGGGACAGAGCTGGGACAGCATAGCCCATACTGGCCTCTCAGCTTCTCTTCTGGTGCTTCCATTTTGGATTTACACATTTCTTTGAAATTTCAACGTTGTTGGTCAGCATTAGTGTAAGTTGTGGCTGGTCCCACAGCCATTCTGCCTCGTACAGGTGTGGATAGGTGTTTCCTCCACACCAGGGCCACCCCCAAGGGGATGCAGAATGGGGGGTCAGTGTATGGAAGAGCTTATGAGCACTCTTCCAGGGAGAAGGCCCATAGCTACCATCAGCCCCTTACAGACGTCTGTGACCGAAAATGTGTTTTTCCACTGTAAAATCGGGACATGACTGCTCACTGTTATAGACACTGTATTTTAAATAATCGGTCCAATTACAAAAGTGAAACGTACTTATTGTAGAACATTTGGAGACTACAGAGAATTGGAGGGAAAAGTCTATAATCTCAACAACCAAAGGTAACCCCTAAAAATATTTAGATACGTTTGTTTCCTTTCACTTTCTAAGTATTATTTTATACGGTTGAGTGCATGTCTGAATCATTTTGTGTTCTGTTCCCCTTTCCCCCTCCCCTTCTCCTCCTCTTAACAGTGAAATCCTAAACATCTGTCAGTCCTCCAAGCTCACAGTTGAGTTTATCTGATTGTGTCAGGTGTGTACTGATGGGCCTTTGGCAGCTAGGGCAAGTTCTCTTAGTGTCACATAAGCTATAGGATTAGTTTTTCTGTTCTGTCAGGCTCCGAGAAGGCCAGAGAAACACCTGCTGTCTGGGGAAGGAGAGGCAGACTGCATCTGATGACACTCAGGACAGACGTTGGGCAGATGTTCTGGGACCATTGATGAGTGTGAAGAAGCTCAGTGTTCTAGATCTGACCTTGACCTCTGCACCATTTGCCACCTCTGCCCACCCCTTCCCTCTCTTTGAAATCTCACTCTTATTTTCCTCCCTCCTCTTGGGATGCTTCTTCTCAGGCCCTGTCCTTCCTCTGTCTGTTAAATGTTGATTTTTCTTCCAATGACTTTTTCTCCCTACAATTTACCTGTGGCTTTTAGCATTTTGGAGGTGCAGGGGACAGGGGAGGTCAGTCAGGGCTCTCTTAAAGCATCACTGGAAAGATACCAACCCCGGGCACCTAGGTGGCTCAGTTGGTTAAGTCTCTGACTCTTTGTTTTGGCTCAGGCCATGATCTCATGGTTCCTGAGATCAATCCCTTGGTCAGGCTCCACCCACTCGCTGATAGCAGGGAGCCTGCTTGGGATTCTCTCTCTCTCCCTATCACTCTCTGCCCCTTCCCCACAAGAAATAAGTAAACTTCAAAAGATACAAACCCTCTTCCAAGAACTATGCACACGTGTACCTACACGTGTGTTTTTATTATACTTTCAGGAAGTCTTCAGACCCTAGAAGCCCACCTTGAGGGCATCTAGTTCCGTGGCTTCATTTATGTGCAAGCTTCTAGCGTAGAATCTCCAGCCTTGCACTTCCTTCTAAATGCCAGCCTGGAGGCTGCTGGACCTCTCCACTGGGATGTCCCATAGGCCCTTGCAGTGCATGGTGTGGATGACTGAACTCATCATTTCTCTCCCTGACTCCTAAACCAATTGTCCTCTGGTTTTCTTTATTTTAGTGAATGGTACCGTCATCCCCCCAGTTCTGGCTCAAGCCAGAAACCTGGCAATCATCTTGGATTCCTCCTTAACTTACTTCCCATTTCTATTTAGTTGCCAAATCTTGATTATACTACTTAACCAAGGTTTTGAATCTTCCCACTTCTCTATAATCCTATTAGTAGTGAACTCTACTCTAGTGAGGACCATTGTCCTATCTTGCTCAAACTTCTGCAAAAGCCCCTACCTGGTCTCCTGCTTCTGGTTTCCCCATATACAGCTCTTCACTTTCAAAACAGTCTCCACTCAATAGAGTGGCCAAAAAATAAGTCAAAACTAACTCAAATGAAGTCACATTACTCCCCTGCTTAACAGCCTCTGATTCTTCCCTACGTCATTTATAATAAAAGCCGAAGTCCTCTAACTCAACAAAAAAACCAAACAACCCAATTGAAAAGTGGGCAAAAGACTTGAGTGGGCATTTCTCCAAAGAAGATGTACAGATGGCCAGAAAGCACATGAAAAGATGCTCAGCATCATGTAGGCATATGCAAATTGAAACTACAATGAGATACCACCTCACATCCATTAGGTGGCTACTATAACACAAACAGCAACAGCAAACAAAACAAGTGTTGGAGAGGCTGTGGAGGAATTGGAACCCTTGTGCACTGCTGGAGAGAACGGAAAATAGCACAACCACTGTGGAGAACAGTATGGTGATTCCTCAAAACTTAAAAATAGAATTAGCATATGATCCAGCAATTCCACTGCTGGGTGTATACCCATAAGACCTGAAATCAGGATCTTGAAGAGATATTTGTATACCCATGTTCACAATAGCTAAAACATGGATGCAACCCAAGTGTCTCTCAATGGATGAATGGATAAGCAATATGTGATGTATACATGCAATGGAATATCATTTGATCTTAAAAAAGAAGAAAATTCTGACCCATGTTCCAACATGGATGAATCTTGAGAACATCATGCTAAGTAAAATAAGCCAATCACAAAACAAACAAATACAGAATGATTCCACTTAGAAACTTAGAGTCATCAGTCATGATCCTAGTGGGAGGGGAAAGGGGGGCTTCGTGTTTAGTGGGTATAAAGTTTTAGCTTTGCAAGATGAAAAGAGTTCTGGATATGGATGGTGCTAGTAATTGCACAATATTACAAATATATTTCATACCATTGAACTATACACTTAAAGATAATTAAGATGACAAATGTTATCTGTATTTTGCCCAGTACAAAAAGGAGGGGGGAGGGTGCCTGAGTGGGTCAGTTGGTTGAGCATCTGACTTTGGCTCACATCATGATATCGCAGTTTGTGAATTTGAGCCCCACGTCAGGCTCTGGGCTGACAGCTCAGAGACTGGAACCTGCTTTGGATTCTGTGTCTCCCTCTCTCCCTTCCCCTCCCCCCTTCAAAAATAAATAAACATTAATTTTTTTTTAAAAAGGGAAAAAAACCCCCAAAACTCCTCACCTACAATGGGTCTACAAAGCCATATGTAATAGGGGCTCTCATATCTCCCTGATTTCTTATCCACTTGGCTGCACACCTGATACTTCTTGCCTTCTTTCTGTGCCTTAAGTCCTTTGCATAGTTGTTCCTGTAATATTCCTCTCTGGGTCTCTGGGTCTCTGACCACCCAGGTCAGAGCTTCAGTGTTACCTCTTCAGAGAAGCCTCTCCTGACCCACCTTAGAAAGACCACCTCCTGGGGTGCCTGGGTGGCTCAGTCGGTTAAGTGTCCGACTTCGTCTCAGGTCATGATCTCATGGTTTGTGGGTTCAAGCCCCACATCAGGCTCTGTGCTGACATCTCAGAGCCTGGACTCTGCTTCAGATTCTGTATCTCCCTTTCTCTCTGACCCCCCCCTGCTCACGCTGTCTCTCTCTCTCTCAGAAATGAATAAACATTAAAAAAATAAATAAACTTAAAAAAAAAGACCCCCCCCCCCCAGTCAACCTCTCCCTCTCCTGTTTTGTTTCCACTTACATGATATCCTTACTCCCAAAATGTTATATCCTTCTCAGTGTGTCATATCAGGAGGCGTATGGGGTCCATTTGCCCCCTTCCCAGTGATATTAACTTTGATCATTTGTTAAGATGGTTTCTGTCAGGTTCCTTCACTATAATGTCACTTGGGGAGATACTAAAAGACTCTCTAAATAGTCTGTTTCTTATCCTACTTTCCCCCACTAATTTTAGCACCTATTGCTGATTCTTGCCTGAAACAGTTGCCACTGAGTTATTTGCCAAATGATAGTTTTCAATTTTCCTCATTCTACATTTATTGGTTGAAATTCTGTGAGGAAGTCCTTTCCCTTCACCCTCATTAATTTTTTCTTCATTCATTCAAGTATTTATATCCATATGGACTCACAGATTCTAATTTTATCCTATAAATTATCCTATAAATTATTCTAAGGGTTATAATCCTTTATGATCATTATTTATTGTGTCTGTTAGATTGTCCCAGATTTGGCATGGGGGCCCGTTCAAATTGCCTCCTGTGTCCACTGACATGGGTTCACATGTCCCCATTATTATTTGAACCCTTCCTTACCTTCTGGCACCATGAGATGTTAGAGGTTCGTCTTGTATTTCCTTGCCACAGCCCTGAAGATATGGCTATTCCCCAAGAAGTCTTGGGGCCTCTCATTGCAGAATGGCATTAGATACCAAGACCTGGGTGCTGGGTGAGGTCATTGATGTTGGGCATTAGGACCTTCAGGCTGTCTTACTGGATGGTCAGGAAATGTATGTACAGACACATAGATACCAAAAACTATTTTGACAAGTCTGTTTGTAATTTTGAAAACCATGAGCTCACAATGATGCCTCTGGTTCCAGTCCAACACCACAGTGTTTATTCTAGCCGACCCCTTTTCCATATTTTTAACTTATTTTTCTGACAGTGAGAAATCTTGCTTTTATTAGTATAATTTTCTTTTTTTAAATAATTTTAAAAGATTATTTATTTTAATATTTTTTAAATGTTTTTATTTGTGAGAGAGAGAGAGAGAGAGAGAGAGAGAGAGAGACAGCGTGAGCAGGGGAGGGTCAGAGAGAGAGGCAGATACAGAATCCGAA